GATTGGGAGGTTTTTATGCATCCACCTTATAGTTCGGACCTCACACGAAGTGACTGCCATCTGTTCCTGTCTATGAAGAACGATGTGACTGGTGAGGATTAATTGTCTCAATTTTATAACAATGGGTAGAGGGGTCTCTATGAGAGAAGAGGCATAATGTCGTTATCTTCGAAACAGTAAACATTTATCGAGCAAATTGGATCTACAATAGACCTACTATAACATATAAATTCTAATAAAAAATAGAAAGGCTCGGTAACATGCCCACTCTTCCAAAATTCTGAAGGTATGTTAGGCAAAGACCTCTTTCGGAAATCGTGAGGAAAAGAGAAATGTTGACTATTGGTGACACAGCCAGAGTGCTAGATCTCTCCAGTCAACACAGAAATTATTGCGGTTATTGAAGGCAATAGAAAAGCTGATGAACTTGCTATGGATGATATTTATTAAGAACAGGATGGGTGTGTATATAGAACAGGACGCAGCAAATAACTTTCTAGTAAATAAACCTCCACATAATAAATCATCAGTCGTTCGGAGGCGGCTTAGTATAACTGTAGGTCCCTCCATTTTTTGGAAAAACATCAAGACGCAAAACCACAAATTGGAGGAGAAGCTCGGTCGAAAATCGCTTTAACGGTTACAAAACGCCAATTTTATATAAAATAACCAAAATTGTCGATTTTGAAGTGAAGATCAGCCAGAAGCGATGCAAGAGCAACAAATGCATACAGAAAAAGTTATAGTTTGGTGCGGTTCACGGGCTGGTGGTGGCAACATTGGACCTTACTTCTTCAAAGATCTTGCGAATCGTAACGTAACTGCGAATGGTGAGCGCTACCGTGAGATGATATCAAACTTTTTTATGCCCAAAATGCAACAGCTTGACTTGCATGATATGTGGTTTCAACAAGACGATCCCACATGTCACATAGCACACGTAACAATGGACTTATTGCGAGGCGAGTTCGGTGAACATTTATTTCACGTCCGGGTCCGGTCGATTGGCCGCCTAGATCGTGCGATTTAACGCCTTTAGACTATTTTTTGTCGGGCTATGTTAAATATAATGTCTATACAGACAAGCCCGCTTCAATTGACACATTGGTGGACAACACTGAAGCATTTATTCGTGAGATACCGGCCGAAATGTTGGAAAGAGTTTGCCAAAATTAGACTATGCGGATGTACATTCAAACATAAAATGATATGGCCCGTTCATCGATTCAAATAAAGTCTTTTCGATGAAGCACCAGATTTATCTAAATTATAATGGCTCAGATTTTCTCTCCGTAGAAGTCACGATAGTTTCTCTTCAAAAGTTGCTAACATTTAATTGACACTTTTGGTGTGGTGTAATTGATTTCCAGAGATGTAATGAGGTCTTGACTGTCACAGCATCTCACAGCGGAGTGATAGCGGAGTGAAATTAAACAACTGCAAAGCGAAAGTGTCTAGGCATTGAAGCAAGTTCCTTCAAAGTTGAATTGGCTTCAGTGTTATGTGTTGCCGTTCATATGGGGAACGAAAAAAGACAAAGGAGAAACAAATCTAAATCAATAAAAATCGCTGAACGAAACTCAAGGGTGAGCCGTTTGAAAGAGTTGGCTATGAAACCGATTCTTTTGCAAATTCGATAGTTACTACGAAAAAGACTTAAACGGTTTTTCATGAATTTAACAGTTTTATGTTTCGTTCGTTTGTTCCATTTGAAAGTGCAAAAAAAATGAAAGATTTTTTTTTGAAGATAATAAAATATTGAATTGAATAGGTAATGTAAACATGCCAGCATAAGAAATGCGACAAAATAGAATTTTATTAAAATAACACATTCACAGGCCTATTCTCACTGTTACCGGTTTGTTACTTTTCTTTAACACCCGAAATTGAATTTGGTATTCTGGCGAACTGGTTACAATGTTTGAAAAGACTTGGGCAGCACTGCTTTTTTCGTCCATGTCAAATTACTTTTGCCAGTTGATAAAGTAAAAAGAAAAATATTCACATCGAAATGGAAGACAGTGCACAAAAAAAAATTAAAAAGTTTTATTAATTTGTTTATTAAATCATAAATATTTGAACCTAATTATGGAACGACCAAAAAAGCTGAATGAAAACGATATCTTACAAATTAAAGGGCTATTTTTTAGTCTCGAAAACTTCTTAAAATACGGCTTTTTGCACTTTTTTCTTCATCTTCAATGAATTCCAGGCCTAAATATGCCTACCCATTTTGGTTTTTTATTTTTTCTCGAGCTAACAACACAAAATCAAACAGCAGATATTTTTGTTACCTCCTATTTCGCTGGTAACAAAATTTACAGGGTGACAGTGAGCTCAGAATACGAAATGGTAACAAAATTTATTAAATGGTAAATGTAATACCTAGGTTAAATTTGTTACTTCGACAGAAAAGGCCTGTCAATCAAAATTATACTCTCTCTCTGCTCATAATTTCAAAAAGTTTAATATGCGCCTGGACATTGTAATTTCTTTAAGAACTTTAATTGTTCTTCTTCTTCAATATGCAAATAGTGTGTGCTTTCAAATAAATGATTGTGTTTTAGTGTTTTCTTTTATGATTTTCATCCACAAGGTCCGTTCCAAAGTAAACAAGACTTTTTGAATCTAGCGCCCTCTAGTGACGCCATCTATTATATATGTCTAGTGCGTTGGAATCTGCTACCCTTTATCGACTTCCATTAAAAATTTCATGACATTTTATTTATTGGAAGTGAAGATATTGCGTTTTAAGTGTCAGTATGTTTTTGTTGTCGGTGCGAAAATGAACACAAACTGACTGACGACCAAAAATTGCTTTGAAATCAACATTCGAAGGACATCATTAAATCGGTAAAAAAAGAACCGGACTTCCTTTACAAGAATGTGGCTGGTGACGAAACGTGGTGTTTTCAATATGATCCCGAAACGAAACGGCAGAGTGCTGAATGAAGAAGTCAAAAGTGAAGACAATACTGATTTATTTTTATGATTTTTATGATTGCAAGGATATTGTCCACAAAGAATTTGTTCCACCCGGCCAAAACGTTAATGCGGTATTCTATCATGGAGTTTTGAAGCATTTGATGCGTCGTATTCGACGTGTTCGGCTCGAATATAGCGAAGATGGAAGTTGGCGCTTGTTGCACGATAATGAGCCGTCCCATCGATCGATCGAAGCTGTAACCCAGAAACCATACGAATAATCCTCAGAGAAGCTGTTTCAACAGTCTTACAGTTCAAAATAAACCATATGTCCGTAGTAAAAATCAAAGCGCAAGGCTTAAGTTTGCAAAGCACTATTTATATAAAAATGAAAGTTTCGAGGAAACCGTAGTTTTTGCTAACGAAAGAAAATTCAATTATGTATGGAGCAAACCAAATGCAGATTTACAACAGCAAAATTTTCGTAGCACTGTAAAACATGGTAGAGAGCATGTAATGGTATGGGGTTGCATATCATCTTCTGGAGTTGTAAATTTGGATTTCATCAATTGTACTATGGTTACGACTGTGTATTGGAACATTTTAAAAAGAAATTTGCTGCAAAGTGCCTCAAAATTAATTACTCGTAACAAGTTTCGGTACTATAAAGATAATGATCCGACTGCAACTGTCCGCATATAGTAAAAACTCCCAGCGCAGTCTCCACATTTGAATGTGATTGAGAGACCGTGGTTAGTTTTGGAACAAGAGATTCTTAAATATGAGATTCGAAATCAATCCGACTTCAAAAAAGCCCTGCAAACAGAATGGAACAATATTGCTCATGACTAGACAGCAAAGGGTATCCTACTAAATATTAATTAACATACAATTTTAGTTTTATTAATTTTTTTGTTACTGCATCATTTTCGTGAACAACTTTGCTTTCGCCGTTTTTTTTTCCAAAATTAAAAGCTTTATTGCGAAAAAGTGCTTACAGATATATTATTCAAAGTATTATCCTTCGCTAGCGACAACTTTCTCCCATCTTTCCGGCAATTTTCGGATCCCGGCTCGAAAAAAGGAGTACTCTTTTGATGCTATCCATGAAGCAATCCATTTTTCCAATTCTTCGAAGGATTGAAAATGTTGATCTGCCAGGCCGTGTGCCATCGAACGGAATAGGTGGAAGTCAGAAGGGGCGAGATCTGGGGAATACGGCGGGGGGGGCAAGACTTCCCATTTCAGCGTTTCCAGGTACTTTTTGAAAACTTTTGCGACGTGAGGCCGTGTATTGTCGTATTGGAGGATGACTTTGTCATGTCGCTCTTGATATTGTGGCCGCTTTTCTTTTAGAGCGCGACTAAGGCGCATCAGTTGCGTTCGGTAGCGATCTCCTGTGATGGTTTTATCCGGTTTTAAGAGCTCGTGGTAAATCACACCGAGCTGATCACACCAAATACAAATCATAACCTTGTTTGTCACTGACATTGAAATCACCATTTTTAAAACATTGAAACCACTCCCGACACGTTCTTTCACTCAGAGCAGCATCACCGTAGGTTTCTGAGAGCATTCGATGCGCTTCAGCTGCATTTTTTTTTTCGAATTGTAACAGAAAAGTAAAACTTCCCGCAAATGGCGAGAATTATGCACATAAACGGACATTTTAGAGCGCGAATAATATGAAGATACTGAAACGGCGATGACAATTCGTTAGGCACTTTCCACACTCACTTTAAAGGCATTATCATCTATGTATTTCAACTATCCTCAGCCGGTACAGCCACCTATAGGAAAACGGCGGAAGCAAGGTTGTACACCTGATACAATTTAATAGCAAAGTTTGTTTTTGCTGTAAATCATAAAATAAACATTAAATATAAAAATTTCAAAGCATAAATGAAATGTGTATATCTGCCGCTTTTTAAATAAAACCTTTAATGCCTCTGCTTTTGGACGGGTGTAAATTTCCATATACCACAATAAAAAACAATGTAATTTTTTCGAGTCAAGAGACTCAAGACACTAGTTGCTTATATTAAGAGAATATATTTAAACATTTATATCCTTACAGAGCACCAAATTTTCGATCTTACGCATTTTTCATAATGTCATTCACATATATATATATATATATGACATGTAATAAATACACATTCACTCATTATGTAATATACACTTAAATAAATATTGCAAGCAAACTAAAATTGTTTATTACAAAATCCACTTCGACATTTGCCGCGTTACAACAAAACACAACACGCGCCTTCACCGACATCATTACTACTATTTTTGTCGATTTTGCAAACATTATTATCGCTCTAATAAGAGAAAATGCATATTCATATGCACAATAAGTAAGTACGTATTTTACATTTGCACAAACGTTCTACAAATAACTCAGAAATTTACAGATGCAAATATATATTTATGTATGCATGCATGTACATACTTGTATGTGTGTGTTTAAGTGCATATATTAAGTTGACGAAAATCAAATGCTTGTCTGACAGCTTGACTGCTGGTTGAGACAGTGCTGGAGATAATCAACAACAACAACAACAACAACAACAACAATTTCTGTGGTTTCCGTGGTCATCGATTCATTCATACACGTAGTTGTGAATTTAGTGTCAAAATGTTTTTATTTTTGTGTAGGTGTGCACTATTCAGAGGCACATGGCTAAATGAAGGCTGATATGTGTGTATGCTTATACATATGTAAGCAAGCTTGCAGTCATCAAGCATATGTACGTTAGAAAGAAACATACATATTTTTTGTTTGTTTGCTTTATAAAAATGTCTTTTGTTGAATGTTACTCATACGCCATGCCTGCCAATTGTTTATTTACTCTAATTCCTAGACTTGGACAATTGACACATTTTGTGACGTTTGATATATTTTGAGTTTTTTTTTTATACTTGTATGTACATATGTAAGTCTTCATGTGAAAACTAAGGGTAAAACATGTTGTGTTGCTGCCAAGGCGTCTAAGTTGATACAAACAAACAACTTGTATGAGGGGTAAAATTTTTACATAAGAGTATAGTCAACCGAGTCAACAAGTATCAAAAAATAAATATATAATTTTTTTTTAATGTACTCTTACACAGATTTTGTAATAGTTATATGTATATCTTTTTCTTCCTCATTATAGCCGAATCAACAATTTTTTTTTTATTTTTTTTTTCATTTGTATTTATTTATTTTTTTCCTTTGTATTTATTTATTGAACTGCTTCTTTATCAAGAGCTTCACCCTAAGTTGTCAGATCTTAAAGACTAAATTAAAATATAATAGCCCTTTAGCTAGGAATGGGCTTCTGGCTCAATATTGCTCTTCACAAGGGTAGTAAGCCCCTTCTCATCAGGCGCGTTTTCACTTGTTGCGGAAGCCAAGGGGATAGCCAAGGGGTTCGGATGATGGCGCAGTTTTGCTTTGTACTTTTGTGTAACGGTTTCAATATCTTTCTTGATTGAGCGTAAGCTTAGATCTCTGTGGATATTTTCATTACGCATGTACGTGAAATCTTTGTATTACGATATACAATATCTAGATTTGTCCCCTAAGTGGGTTCCATACTTCCATATCGGTTTTGTAATCGCATTATAAACAAGGATTTTGTTTTCAAGGCTGTGCCCAGATTTTTTGCTTAAAATGCAGTATAAACTGGAAACTTCAGCTGCATTTTTTTGGCAGAAATGAGTCGCTTCCAAGTAAGTCGTCTATCCAAGTGAATGCCGGGGTATGTGATTTCGTTCTTGTACTTTTGCGGCCCTACCCTGAGGAATACCCGCCATGATTGGATACTCTTCTGTTTTGTAATCTTTTACTTTTACAGTTAAACGCCTGAGCGATATTCTCTAAAATCGTAAGGTTTCCTTATTTCATTTTTTATACGATTTATTTGTTCAATTGTGCCGTGTTTTTCACGAAAACCAAATTGATGTGTAGAAATACTATCATTTTGATGGAGAAAAGTTTGAATAGGCAAGGCAACAGGCTGATTTTTCAACAATAACGCAGTATTCAGTCCTCCTCTCCGCTATTTGGTGCCAGTTGGAAATGCCAATTGAATCCTTCCAAAGAGTGGTGGTCTTCCCCTTCCTCTGGTGCCAACAGCGGGTACTGCATCGAGAACTTTTAAAGCCTCTTCATTCGCTGAACTATGTCAATATCAATGAATAACTCTTTCAGCTCATCGTTCTATCGTCTGAGAGGTACCCGATGTTTCCAATGAGCAAACGACTACAAATCGTTTTCAAAACTTTTCTCACGAATACAAGCAAGGCCGACTCATCGAATAACGACATCGTTCAGGCTGCTGCACCGTATAGCAGGACGGGAATGATGAGTGTCTTGCAGAGTTTAATTTTTATATGTCGAGAGAGGACTTAATTTTGACTACACTGTCCAAAGTAGCAACTGTTGGCAAGAGTTATTCTGCGATGGATTTCATAACTGGCATCATTATTAGTGTTAATTCTGGTCCTAGATATTTGTTATTGTATAAATATCATTGGTATACACCAGTAGTAGCCTACCATTGTAAAAGATTGAGCCTGCTTTGTTTATCATCAAATTGAAGAAATCGCACAATCAAAGGTCACTCGGTCTGAAAGCTCTTTTGGTATTGAATGGCTCGGAGAGGTCTTGGAGAGGTCTTTGCCTTGATACAGTTCAGTGTTCCGCCGTAGTTCTCTTAATGAGCTCTCTTATAAAGCCATAGCTTACTCTCTTCCACCAGATCGGTAGGGTAGGGGAAAGTACTAGTGAGGGGCGTAGATAAACTACTTGAACTAAGCGTGTATACTTCAATCTTTTCAACATGTAAGTAGAGTTCAGCTGCAAATGAAACTATTGGTTTTCGGAAAGGTCGAAAAAACAGCTGGTACGATGAAAATTGTTGCAAAGTGGAAACATTCTGCCTACCTCGTAACGTTGTGATCGGTCACTATACGTACGAAGACGCAATAGCCAAGTGATTGCAAGTCTTGGAATCCAGGTCCGACCAACTTCCAAAATTGCAAAAAATTAATTTGTCTAATTGCGGACGCCCCTCGGCAAGGAATGTCAAGTCATTGTTGGAAAATTGGTGTTGGAGTTCGACCGAAAATCGCTTAAGCGGTTGCTTGAGTAGTTGGGCGACAAGAGTACGCTCAAAAGTTCTACGAAAAGATACGGTGACTTATAGAAAGTTTGAAGATCTTGTGAGACCCAATGAGGTGATTTAGTTACTTATATCTAGAGGGAACGCTTCTCTAGCATGCTGAAAAGAGTGGCAATAAAACACCAGGGGATGGGAAATCCGATTTCGACTATGAAGAAGTTCGAATGACATTTACCCACCTAAAGAACAACAAAGCAAGCCGATGGATTTACGTTCGATTAATTCAGATCCAAGGTAGAAGACCTAACCAAGTACATGCATCAGCTTCTTTGTAGAGTTTGGTCGGAGGAGAATAGAACTTAACTGTACTCAGCTCAAACGACAAAAAGGGCGATCTCATAACCAACGCCATTTACCATTGAGGAAAAAGTCTCATTAATATCGCATCCAAAGTCCATTCGAGCATACTTTGTAAAAGACTAAAGCCCACCGTCAACGAACTAATTGAAACTTATCAGTGTGGCTTCAAATCTGGAAATTAAACTAATACTCTCTAAATGCCACTCTTCATAGCTTTTAAAGCAGCCTTTGGTACGAAGAAAGGAAGCTACGGCGCTTTGTCAGACTTCGATAGCCATGTAAAACTTATACGGCTGTGTAAAAAGACGATTAGCAACAGCAAAAACTCCATTTGGATCGGCAAAGGTCTCTCTGGTCCGATTGATTTTATCATGTGACTTGATTATAATGAGTTTATAGAAGATCCCGACTGTTCCATGATGTTCGGTAGGGAAGTGCCCTTCCTTGCAAACTCGTTACCCGTTATGTCACTGTGTCCAGGCAGTCGTACTAGGTTCGGAGAGCACTGCTCAGCCATCACGTTTACTAATATGCAGGCAATTCTTTACTGTTTTCGATTTAATTTCTACAGATTCCGGTGCGATTTCCTGAGAGTACTATTGACAGCCTCAAGTATAACCGCTAATTCCGTCTTCTAGCTTTCAATGTTTTAGAAGGGTGCCCAAACCAATCCCGCCATCTTGGGTAGATTCCACCACCGATCCTATTATCCAGTTTTGGCCCAATTCAGTATACATTTATTTTAGAATACAATGTACAAATATGTATGTATATTACACGGACAACAATATTAACGTTAACCGTAAATGTTTTGAATTACATATCACCTAATAACCACAAAACTACGTCATTCCATTGACATACATACATACTAATGTTATCAAAGCCTCATATTAGTCATATAGAAACATATGGATTTAGTTACAGTTAACATGTTTTATATATGTACGTATTACATGTACATATGTATGTATGTGGTTTCAATTAAAAACTGAGCAATTTCAATTTGAAATTTTTGTGGTGAAACTGTGGGCTTTGTCGCTGAGGCAAACGTTCGCAATGCATTTTTTGCTTAAACTTTCTAAATAATAATTTTTTAAACTGCTTTTGCTTCTTAAAAACACAATTTAAAATTATTATGTGTTTTATTCAACGAACAAAGTTTTCATATATTCAAATATGACATCTTGTTTATGCGTGCAACCCTGGGCAACATCCATAACATTCACCAACAGATGGCGCTGGTGTTATCGTTCATTACGTGACTATTCAATTTTATGTGAAGAGTCCAATTAACACCGTTTTAGACTTTCATCTTATGTGGAAATCTTTAAAATACCATTTTTGCCAATCCGAAACCCTCTTTTTGATATTTACTATATTTTTCCAAATACATATATGTGTATATGAATCATTCTTTTCAATAAATTTATTTTGATTTATTTCAATTCGAAAACTTGGTTTTTCGTTCTAGAGTATTTTGGCGGAACTGTGTAGATTATTTTTATTTAAGATTTAGAAAGGACGATCACTTCCCACGATCCCTACTGCCGGGATTCCAGCCCCTACAAATACACCGAAAACGAGTGCAACCAATTATTATGTACATCGCTTTTTAGTACAGTATCGCAATGTCAATGATAGGCAGGACAGAAGCGGACATACTCGGAAAAAATCCTTTGACTTGATATTTCTTTAGATTTATTTTGGTTTGATATATGTATGTATGTATGAATGCTAAAAATCTTTTAAGGTTTAAGAATAACAAACCAGATTTAATATACATAT